CTGTGTGTGGTTCCGAAGATAAGAAGCAAACCAATTGATATCAATTCCGTACAGCTGCAATTTTGTGAGTAATTTGTCGTGGTCTATCAGATCAAAACATTTGCTCAAGTCCAGCAGGCAGAGGAGTGACAGCTCTCCCCGATCGTTTGCGGATAGGATGTGATCGGATATGGATACTAGCGCGGTTTCAGTCGAGTGACGAGGCCGGAAACCGTGCTGGGTGGATGATATGAGGTAATTGTTGTTGAGGTAATTGTAGAGCTGGTGATGAACGGCTCGTTCTACAATCTTAGGGATGACAGGGACAATGGATATAGGACGGAAGTTGGACGGGTTAGAAGGATCGCCGGCTTTGTGGATTGGATGGACAAGGGAATGTTTCCAGGATTGAGGTATGTCGGAGAGATATGCTGGAATTGACCAAATGCAGGAGCACCGTGCCGATCGCGTCGAACGACATGCGGACCATGCGGATGCAAATACCGTCCTCTCCATGAGCGGACGAACCGCTCATGGAGAAGACGATAGAGCGCAGATCAGACAGTGACAGGGGTGACAGTGAAAACGCGCAGGCCCCCACGCGCGGTAGTCTGCAGGGTAAGTGAGGCGCTTCCCCCGAGTTACGCGCCTCACAAGACACGCGCGGTCCCACTTCCACAAAGTAGCGGTTCAGCTCGTCGGGCGACATGTCTGGCGTGGTGCGGCCGTCTCGACCACTCCCCACTGCCGACCGTACCCCCTCCACACCGAGCCGCGCCCCTCCTCCTGCAGCCGCCGCCGAATCTCTTGACAGCTGTCGTGTCTGATCGCGCGCCGGGCGGCCCGGTTCACCCGTTTATATTCGGCAGAGCTGTGGTCGAGTGTAGCGAGCACGGCGCGGCGACGGGATAACAGATCGCGAGTAGGTTCACTTAAAACAGGCGCACGAGCATTCCTAATCCGCATGGTCCGCATGGGGGCATGTGAATCGACAATGGGTAAAAACAGGTCGGTAAAACAGTTCCATTTCAGGGTGACAGTAGGGGCAGTGAAAACTGGGGTCCAGTCAGCGGAAGTAAGATCTAAATGAAAATCGGCTGTGCTGACACGGCGCAGACAGCGCGAACGAGCAATACGTTTCGGTTGACGGGGACGAGGAACGTTTATGAGCGTTTTGACAAGTCTATGTGGGCTAAAATGGCAAAAAACAGTTGAGCATCGTTTCACGAGATAAGAGCAGTTTGATAAAATCACATCGAGTAAAGAGCCAGAGACGTACGTTGAAGACTTAACCGATTGAGTGAGTGAATAGTCAGATAAAAACATGGATAATCTGAGTCTAGCTGGGTCACTGGGAGGCTTTAGTAGGTCACAGTTTAAATCTCCACACAGTAAAATGTTTGTCATTGGATGGTCAATGGCCACGCGCTGATACTGGGCCTCCAGGTCGGAGAAGTCTGCATCGAGGTCGACCGCGCTGCGTCTCGGCGGGCGGTAGGCGATTCCCAGGACGAACCTCCGTCGGCGATCAGGCCTCACCATCACCCACAAGGTCTCGAGCCTGCTGTTGGGGACGGGCTCCGTGGTGACCTTGAGCGGGGAGGCACTGATGCTGTCCCGGGCGGCCAGAGCGACTCCACCGTAGCCTCGTCCGTCCGACCGGTCGGCGCACAATAGGCGGTAGCCCGGTAGCACGCGAAGGCGGCTGGGTGTAGTGGGCCGTAGCCACGTCTCATTCAGTGCCATCAGGTCATAGCTTCCATGATGGAGCGTTTTATTCAGGTCGGGAATCCTCGGCTTCAGGGACTGAATGTTGAGAAGTCCCACGGTGGGTGCAGCGCCGGCCGTCATCGAAGAGAGGTCTCCGCGGCGGCGGCGGCCGCCTCTGCTCCCCCGGCGCCGGGCCCCGGGCGCGCGCCTGCCGCGCCTCGTGCCGCGCTCCGCCCGATGAGGCCGGCTGCCGGCCTCGGTTGATCGGCCACAGGGCAGGGCTGACCCAGCGCCGGGCACACGAACCGCTGGCTCCGGGTCCAGGTCACGCTCCGAGACCAGGGTGGCAGGGAGCCCAGAGCGCCGGTGCCGGTGTCGGGCCGGGGACAACGCTGTCCAGGGTGGCATTGCGGCGGGTGTGGCGGCCAGCACCAGCGCGTCGACGACGGCCAGCAGGACGACGAGCCGCAGCAGGTCGCGATGGTGGGAGATCCTCCACAGCAGCATGACGAACCCGGATGCACCGAGACGGTGAGCACGGTAGGACCAGTAGTCAGGCTGTCCGTCGGTGTTATTTATTTACGGAATCGGGAGGGGGTTCGCCATTACATGGTACCTAACCATTATTCCGGCAGTTCGGATCAACAAGATGGAAGAAGGCAACATCCTGCATGGAGTGATGCTCTTCGAGGAGTCAGCTCCCCGGCATACAGTAAATTAAATACAAAATCTCCTGAAACGGAGGATCCCGCAAACTGTACCCAAGAGAAAATGCTCCCTTCTTCATTAAACCTCAGCCCACACAATTCTGGTTGCTGGGGCGTTTTTGCGGGTGAGTCTAACGAACGTCCCCATGTGACTGTGGTGAGCCTCAGCAGTGCCAGTTGGCTACAATTACGAGCCATTTCAGACGGGAGATCTCGCCGCGCGTGCGGCCAGTCCAGGCACCGATAAGGACTAATGCAGGTGGACCACGGTGACCATATTTGGTGATAAATGTGTAAAATTGGCGTGACAATATGTGATCCAAATTTGAAATGCCTATGTTTCCAAATTGCTAAGCTACGGCGTTCTAAATGCAAATATGTATTTTGTCCCAATTTATCTGCCCAACCCTGTTGGGACAATCTCACGCCTCACCCATCTGGCACTCATGCAGTCATGCATGTCCACAAGTAGGGGCTGCACGCACTAGACATCGAATTGTAAAGGTGATTTGTGGATAAAAAATCCAGAACGTATTGTAGGAAGGCGGCTCCTCCTCCCGTGCCGCCGCCTATTGTGCTGACAGTGGACTGCCGCTCCGAGACTGTGTCAGACTCGGGACTCTGCCGCTGCGAGCGCCCGCGGCCGCAGGTCACGCGCCGTGGGCTATATGCCGAGCTTGCGGCAACTGCTTGTGTGCAGCGTGATGGCGGCTGCTGATTGGCTGGCGCTGTGACGCCAGGGCAGCCGCTGATTGGTTTCGCCTCTGGAACCTTCTGTGCCAAAGGTCGTCTCAAGGTCATGTTCGAGACGGGGGGGATTGATTGTGATTCGGACTTGGATTTTGACTTTGGCTTTGAACTGGTCTTGGTGTTCAAAATATACTTTGACTATGCTTTACGGTTAATCACTCACGGCCATGTCTTTATTTGGTGGCAGCGGGTTACGAGCTTCGCTCTTTCGTGATAAGCCGTAACCGGTAACGATGAACTGATTCGGATATTATACCTACCGGCTACCAAGAACGAAGATCAAATGAACTGATGTTTTCGACTCGGACTGGCTCCCCTCTCGGTGCTCGGCCCTGGGCCTGGCCTACCTCGCGAGTGCATCCGGTGAACTCAGAACTGTGAGTTTTCGTGTCTGGTCCCGCCTGGGCCATGATTTTGTGCCTGAGTCGAGACTATCAGTGACTCGTGCCAGAACTATGGTGACGCTGCACTTTCTGTGTCTCGGTGGCCAGCTCTACCGCTGTTTGTTTGGCAGCCGTTCCGTGAGCCCCGCTGGCTCGACAGGCTGTGAGATGAGCGGCCAGCTAGCCCCCTTCAGTCTTCGGCGTTGCGCGCAGTGGCTGGCCTGAGCTGGTGCCGGCCACCACCTGGCGCTGACGGCTGACGCTAGATTGCTGCAGGATTTTAATTTTCAAGTTCGTCGTTCGTCGCCGCGCTGCCAGCCGTGGCGACCCGTGGCGACTGAAGTGACCGTTTCAAGTTCGGTCGTCGCCGCCGTCCATCGTGGCGGTCCTTGTGATTGCGATGCTCGCCTCCGAGTGCGTCCGCCGTCGCCGTCGCTCGTGGCGACCGCTGTCGCAGCCGTCTTCTTCGTCGTCTTCAAGTTGCAGCCGCCGCTCCTCGGCCGCCGGCTTTGGCCGAGAGCTGCTGTGACGTCAGCAGTCACGTGACGCTGCTCGTCGCTCGGCCGGCTGTGCGTCAGCTGACCGCCGCGGCCGCCGGCTCCTGCGGCTCCTGACGGCCTGGATGGATGGGCCGACGGCGAGGATCTCCATCGACAGGCGACGACAATAAGATAAATGTATCGATTGCTTGTGTGATGAGTGTATCTTGCAGTGTATGTATTTTGCTTTGTGATGTGTAGATAGGTGTGCCATTTTGGCAAAATGAATCCCAGGGACGGGGAGCAGAGTGGATCTGGGGACGTGCGCCGCGGGGCGATCGGTGGATTTTCTTTAGGGGCGCCAAAATTCTCTGGGGAGAGTGGTTCAGCTTGCAACATATTTTTGGCTGATCTGGATGCGTTCTACACATTTCACAATTTTGATGATGAGTTCAAGCTGCGCTCCCTGCCGCTGTGCTTGACCGGGTTCGCACGAGATGCTTTTGAGGCCCTCCCACGGGAGGAGAGGAACACCTTCAGCCGGGCTGTTAGTGCTCTCCGCCACTTGTTCATCAAACCTTGCGCGCTGGATGCTCATAGTCAGCTTCACCAGTTAACCCGCGCCCGGCTGGGGGTCCTGGATTTCCACGCCCTGCTGGGGGGGGGGGGGTGTCTGAACACCCCCCTTCTAACTCGGCTCCTGGGCCACGTAGCGATACGCGGAAGGCGGCGTTCGAAAGAGCGCCAAAAATAATTGACGAAATCACTTCGGTCAATTTTTTGGTCAGGTCAAAGGTCAGGTCACCAGAGGTCATTGAAGGCAAAATTTTGCCGATTTCCAGGTCGAATGTCGACAATTTCCAAGAAGGCAACGCTCAGCCGCTGTTACTGCTACTATCAACTATCGTGGTTCAACTATCGTGGAACCCGCTGTTACTGACTCACTTATCGGATTCCTTGTCCTCTGGGCCACGATGATGGTAAAGTCTGCTACCCAATGTTGTATTTTAGCCGTCCCTCACCTGTTCCACCTGTCTGAATGCTCTGATCAGGTTGAGGCCGGCTAGTTTCTGCAGGTCGAGCACAGACCAGGAGCTGTCGCGGAGCAGTTCGGCAAACAGAAACGGGTACCGCGAGACGTCCTCCAGACCGAGCGGGGTGCTGCCGGCAAGGCCACGTCCAACATCTCACCAGACAGACTGCCGCGGCCACGTCCAACATCTCACCAGACAGACTGCCACGGCCACGTCCAGCATCTCACCAGACAGACTGCCTCAGCCACGTCCAGCATCTCACCAGACAGACTGCCACGGCCACGTCCAGCATCTCACCAGACAGACTGCCACGGCCACGTCCAACATCTCACCAGACAGACTGCCACGGCCACGTCCAGCATCTCACCAGACAGACTGCCACGGCCACGTCCAGCATCTCACCAGACAGACTGCCACGGCCACGTCCAGCATCTCACCAGACAGACTGCCACGGCCACGTCCAACATCTCACCAGAAAGACTGCCACGGCCACGTCCAACATCTCACCAGACAGACTGCCACGGCAACGTCCAGCATCTCACCAGACAGACTGCCGCGGCCACGTCCAGCATCTCACCAGACAGACTGCCACGGCCACGTCCAACATCTCACCAGACAGACTGCCACGGCAACGTCCAGCATCTCACCAGACAGACTGCCGCGGCCACGTCCAGCATCTCACCAGACAGACTGCCACGGCCACGTCCAACATCTCACCAGACAGACTGCCACGGCCACGTCCAGCATCTCACCAGACAGACTGCCACGGCCACGTCCAACATCTCACCAGACAGACTGCCACGGCCACGTCCAGCATCTCACCAGACAGACTGCCGCGGCCACGTCCAGCATCTCACCAGACAGACTGCCGCGGCCACGTCCAGCATCTCACCAGACAGACTGCCGCGGCCACGTCCAGCATCTCACCAGACAGACTGCCGCGGCCACGTCCAACATCTCACCAGACAGACTGCCACGGCCACGTCCAACATCTCACCAGACAGACTGCCACGGCCACGTCCAACATCTCACCAGACAGACTGCCACGGCCACGTCCAGCATCTCACCAGACAGACTGCCACGGCCACGTCCAACATCTCACCAGACAGACTGCCACGGCCACGTCCAGCATCTCACCAGACAGACTGCCACGGCCACGTCCAGCATCTCACCAGACAGACTGCCACGGCCACGTCCAGCATCTCACCAGACAGACTGCCGCGGCCACGTCCAGCATCTCACCAGACAGACTGCCACGGCCACGTCCAGCATCTCACCAGCCAGACTGCCACGGCCACGTCCAGCATCTCACCAGACAGACTGCCACGGCCACGTCCAGCATCTCACCAGCCAGACTGCCACGGCCACGTCCAGCATCTCACCAGACAGACTGCCACGGCCACGTCCAACATCTCACCAGACAGACTGCCACGGCCACGTCCAGCATCTCACCAAACAGACTGCCACGGCCACGTCCAACATCTCACCAGACAGACTGCCACGGCCACGTCCAGCATCTCACCAAACAGACTGCCACAGCCACGTCCAGCATCTCACCAGACAGACTGCCACGGCCACGTCCAGCATCTCACCAGACAGACTGCCACGGCCACGTCCAACATCTCACCAGACAGACTGCCGCGGCCACGTCCAACATCTCACCAGACAGACTGCCACGGCCACGTCCAACATCTCACCAGACAGACTGCCACGGCCACGTCCAGCATCTCACCAGACAGACTGCCACGGCCACGTCCAACATCTCACCAGACAGACTGCCACGGCCACGTCCAACATCTCACCAGACAGACTGCCACGGCCACGTCCAGCATCTCACCAGACAGACTGCCACGGCCACGTCCAGCATCTCACCAGACAGACTGCCGCGGCCACGTCCAGCATCTCACCAGACAGACTGCCACGGCCACGTCCAACATCTCACCAGACAGACTGCCACGGCCACGTCCAGCATCTCACCAGACAGACTGCCACGGCCACGTCCAACATCTCACCAGACAGACTGCCACGGCCACGTCCAGCATCTCACCAGCCAGACTGCCACGGCCACGTCCAGCATCTCACCAGACAGACTGCCGCGGCCACGTCCAGCATCTCACCAGACAGACTGCCACGGCCACGTCCAGCATCTCACCAGACAGACTGCCACGGCCACGTCCAGCATCTCACCAGACAGACTGCCACGGCCACGTCCAGCATCTCACCAGACAGACTGCCACGGCCACGTCCAGCATCTCACCAGACAGACTGCCACGGCCACGTCCAGCATCTCACCAGACAGACTGCCGCGGCCACGTCCAGCATCTCACCAGACAGACTGCCACGGCCACGTCCAGCATCTCACCAGACAGACTGCCGCGGCCACGTCCAGCATCTCACCAGACAGACTGCCACGGCCACGTCCAGCATCTCACCAGACAGACTGCCACGGCCACGTCCAACATCTCACCAGACAGACTGCCACGGCCACGTCCAGCATCTCACCAGCCAGACTGCCACGGCCACGTCCAGCATCTCACCAGACAGACTGCCGCGGCCACGTCCAGCATCTCACCAGACAGACTGCCACGGCCACGTCCAGCATCTCACCAGACAGACTGCCGCGGCCACGTCCAACATCTCACCAGACAGACTGCCACGGCCACGTCCAGCATCTCACCAGACAGACTGCCACGGCCACGTCCAGCATCTCACCAGACAGACTGCCACGGCCACGTCCAGCATCTCACCAGACAGACTGCCACGGCCACGTCCAGCATCTCACCAGACAGACTGCCACGGCCACGTCCAGCATCTCACCAGACAGACTGCCACGGCCACGTCCAGCATCTCACCAGACAGACTGCCACGGCCACGTCCAGCATCTCACCAGACAGACTGCCACGGCCACGTCCAGCATCTCACCAGACAGACTGCCACGGCCACGTCCAGCATCTCACCAGACAGACTGCCACGGCCACGTCCAGCATCTCACCAGACAGACTGTCACGGCCACGTCCAACATCTCACCAGACAGACTGCCACGGCCACGTCCAGCATCTCACCAGACAGACTGCCACGGCCACGTCCAGCATCTCACCAGACAGACTGCCACGGCCACGTCCAGCATCTCACCAGACAGACTGCCACGGCCACGTCCAACATCTCACCAGACAGACTGCCGCGGCCACGTCCAACATCTCACCAGACAGACTGCCACGGCCACGTCCAACATCTCACCAGACAGACTGCCACGGCCACGTCCAGCATCTCACCAGACAGACTGCCGCGGCCACGTCCAGCATCTCACCAGACAGACTGCCACGGCCACGTCCAGCATCTCACCAGACAGACTGCCGCGGCCACGTCCAACATCTCACCAGACAGACTGCCGCGGCCACGTCCAGCATCTCACCAGACAGACTGCCGCGGCCACGTCCAGCATCTCACCAGACAGACTGCCGCGGCCACGTCCAACATCTCACCAGACAGACTGCCACGGCCACGTCCAACATCTCACCAGACAGACTGCCGCGGCCACGTCCAGCATCTCACCAGACAGACTGCCGCGGCCACGTCCAGCATCTCACCAGACAGACTGCCGCGGCCACGTCCAACATCTCACCAGACAGACTGCCACGGCCACGTCCAACATCTCACCAGACAGACTGCCACGGCCACGTCCAGCATCTCACCAGACAGACTGCCACGGCCACGTCCAGCATCTCACCAGACAGACTGCCACGGCCACGTCCAGCATCTCACCAGACAGACTGCCGCGGCCACGTCCAGCATCTCACCAGACAGACTGCCACGGCCACGTCCAGCATCTCACCAGACAGACTGCCACGGCCACGTCCAACATCTCACCAGACAGACTGCCACGGCCACGTCCAGCATCTCACCAGCCAGACTGCCACGGCCACGTCCAGCATCTCACCAGACAGACTGCCGCGGCCACGTCCAGCATCTCACCAGACAGACTGCCACGGCCACGTCCAGCATCTCACCAGACAGACTGCCGCGGCCACGTCCAACATCTCACCAGACAGACTGCCACGGCCACGTCCAGCATCTCACCAGACAGACTGCCACGGCCACGTCCAGCATCTCACCAGACAGACTGCCACGGCCACGTCCAGCATCTCACCAGACAGACTGCCACGGCCACGTCCAGCATCTCACCAGACAGACTGCCGCGGCCACGTCCAGCATCTCACCAGACAGACTGCCGCGGCCACGTCCAGCATCTCACCAGACAGACTGCCGCGGCCACGTCCAGCATCTCACCAGACAGACTGCCGCGGCCACGTCCAGCATCTCACCAGACAGACTGCCGCGGCCACGTCCAACATCTCACCAGACAGACTGCCACGGCCACGTCCAACATCTCACCAGACAGACTGCCACGGCCACGTCCAGCATCTCACCAGACAGACTGCCACGGCCACGTCCAACATCTCACCAGACAGACTGCCGCGGCCACGTCCAACATCTCACCAGACAGACTGCCGCGGCCACGTCCAGCATCTCACCAGACAGACTGCCACGGCCACGTCCAGCATCTCACCAGCCAGATGACGGTCGCGGGTATACTGATAGCTTTTCAAATCCGAGCCCCAGTGAAAGGACAACACCCAGTTAGCACCCATTTCGTGGGTGAAGGGGCGTCGACACGGATTTTCGATAGGGGGGGGACGGATCGCCGGACTAAAAAAAGTATTGCTACCTCACTTCTTCAGGCTGATGCATCATCTGTCTTATGATGATGGGCCAAATTCCTTCACATTGCAGTACCACAGTACAGGTACACGTCTGAAGTCAGATTCATTTTGACATGGTTATGGCCAAATCATCTCGTCCTGTAGCAGTCGGTGTAATTGTTGGCGTATGCCACCAATCCACCAATGGGGTAATGCATACATAGGGGAGAGTGGGGTAATTTGGCCGGTGGTGTAAATTGGCCGCCCCCACCTGTACGAAAGCTGATAAAAGTGAATGAAATAACTTTAGTCTCTATTCATTTGTCATCGGCAGAACTAACTCGAGAACAAATGTCAAAACTTTCCCCCTCTTAGTTTTATTCAAAATTAATAAAAGGTGAATTACGTTAGAAAATAATAACTTTTA